GCGAAACATGACTGTTCAACTGTGGGGAAGCTAACTGCTGCTCTTATTAGGACCTTGTAACTCGACGAACAACTTTCAAAAATGTGTTCAACATTCGTTGAGTCTATGCCAAAGCGTGTAGCAATGCTTATAAAAGCAAAGAGTAATCATATCTCTTGTTAAATCAATTATCTTTCATATCATTGTCATGTATTTTTTATTTTTTATTCGCCGGTATTCTCCAGGCCATTTTTCAAATAAGTATTAATTTTTCAAATAAATGTCTTATTAATATGAAGACTACTGTTTATATATATAAATATGCAAAACAATCACTCTGAAAGAATAGAGAATTTCCAAGCGCTTTCGTGACTACTCACATTATCAAGGAACTATGATAGTTCCTTGATAATGTGAGTAGTCACGAAAGCGCTTGGAATTTCTCTATTCTCTCAGAGTGGTTGTTTTGCATATTCTGAAATCACCTGTTTAAATATATATATATATATATATATATATATATATATATATATGTATGTGTGTGTGTGTGTTGTGTGGTGTGTGTGTGTGTGTGTGTGTGTGTGTGTGTGTGTGTGTGTGTGTGTGTGTGTGTGTGTGTGTGTGTGTGTGTGTGTGTGAGAACACACACACAAACACACTCCTCGTACACACACACACACACACAAGTTTTCTCACAAATCTATACATAAAACTCTAAGATTAATTATGATCTACAGCGCTGTACAGTGGAACCTCAGCACACACACACACGCATGCATATACAACATGCCTAGTGTCTAATCGACATGTGCCTGGGACAAAATGGTAACTAACTAACACACACACACACACACACTAACACACACAAAAGGCAAAGTGCTAAATTGACAAGTGCCTATGACAAAATGGTAACTAACACACACACACATAGGTACAACACTCGTAAACAAGCTATCAAGCAAATACAAAACAGGCCACTGGGGAGATGAAGCGCTAGTACTTTGTACAGCGCTTCCACACTCACTCACCTTACGTATCCCCAGGGTTGGGTACGAGAGTGCCATCATACTTGTCAAGCAGAGTAAGATATCGATAAGGATAGTTGACAAACAGCGAATCTAGTGCCGAAGTGCAATTAAATTTAGTAGCCAGCGATTTCTGAGTAGTATTTGACTGTGTAGCAGTTGGTATAATGTCTGAAAGGGACGTATATTACTCGTTGTTAAGCTGCTAATGAAGTATAGCCTCGTTTCAGAATTATCTAGAATCCCACAAATATGTGTGTGTGGGGAGGGTGCGTGAGACAGTGGGTAGAATGAAAGAGGGTGAAGTGGCTGGGATAGACATAGCAACAGCAAGAATCCTCCTGAAAACAGTAAACCCTGCCATCACATAGTCTCTCCTGGTAATACTACACAAAGCACATTACAGAGAATGAACATTGAAACAGGCCTTCTCTATCCAGCGTCCAATATAAATATTTGTGTAACCTATTTTTATGTTACCCAAGTTATAGCTTTTATATCATTTTACTCTTGAGCGAGTTAATTGTTCTAACATATTGTATTACTACTACAACTACTGCTACAACTTATCTCACTACTACTACTACTACTACTACCACTAGTATTGCACCTCACTCTGAGCCTATATACACCCTCTGTGACTATGTACTGTTTGTAACGGCTTGACAAAGCTCCTGGAGAGCGAAACGTTGCCTCAATAAAAATGTCACATTAATTGCACTTGTGTCCTTTTACTTTACATATTGTCGGTAATTCTACCAACTTTATTACAAGCAGATGAGGATGTAGTGTTGGAGTGTTGGTGTGTTTGCTCAATAAATACATAGATTGGCAAAGAGTGTACACAGTTCCTTTGTATAAAGAAGAAAGGGGACAAAGGAACATGTACGAATTGTAAGTGGATAAGCCTGCTGAGTGTACCACGTAAGGTTTAAGGTAAGATTATTATTTAAAGGGTTAGGGTAAGACAGAAAGTAAGATTGCAAAGGAGCAAGAAGGATATAGGAAGAGTAAGGGATGTGTAGTCCGAGTGTTTGTGCTGATGTTAGCGAACAGTACTTAGATAAGGGTAAAAAAGTGTCTGTTATATTTATGGATTTAGAAAAGACATATGACAAGGTGAAGAGGAGGGAAATGCAGATATTGCGAAAGTATGGATTAGGAGGAAGGTTATCAAAAGTATTTCAGATTTTTTATGGGGAGAGTGAAGCGCTGGTTAGAGTACATAGGAAGGACTGGGGCTATTTCCCAGAGGAAGTAGGACATAGTCAAAGATGGGAGATGTTATTATTGTTGTTTAATTCATTTAGAGATATGGTCGAGAAAGAAGCTAATACTAGGGTGCTGAGAACGGATGAGGGATTGAAATATATTGGAACTAATGTAAAATGGGAATTATCATCAGTTGTTCTTTGCTGATGACACAATTCTTATACGTAAGTCTGAACACAAGTTACAAATGTTGTTGGAAGAATTTGGGAGGGTGTGTAAAAGAAGGAAATTAAAAATGAAAATAGAAAAGAGGAAGATAATGATGGTAATAAAAAGTGTACGCAATCTCAGATTGAATATCAGATTCGATGAAGGGGTTATGGAGGAATTGGAAGTATATAGATTTTTGGGAGAGGACGTGTCAGCAGACTGGTCTATGAAAGATGAATGATCCACTGAATAGATGAGAGGAGAAACGTGAGTGGTGTGAAGTATTTGTGGAATGAAACCAGTTTACAAAAAACATACCAATGGGCGGGGATAAAACCCGCGATCAGAGAGTCTCAAAACCCCAGACCGTCGCGTTGGCCACTGGACCAGCTAGCCACAATAAGATTCGTCCAACTAGGTATATTTCTACACCATAGGAAGGTTAGCATAGACACCACTGTGACCACAAATGCAAGTTTTTACAGACGAATCTCCAGCTAGCGTGGCCGTGACGAACTCTAGCTCAAGTCTCCTTAAAGCCGTTAACATGACTCACGAAATCGTAATGACACGATTGCAAACAAACCATACCACGGACGGGGATAGAACCCGCGATCCGAGAGTCTCAATACTCCAGACCGTCGCGTTGGCCACTGGACCAGCTAGCCACAATAAGATTCGTCCAACTAGAGTTCGTCACGGCCACGCTAGCTGGAGATTCGTCTGTAAAAACTTGCATTTGTGGTCACAGTGGTGCCTATGCTAACCTTCTTATGGTGTAGAAATATACCTAGTTGGACGAATCTTATTGTGGCTAGCTGGTCCAGTGGCCAACGCTGCGGTCTGGAGTTTTGAGACTCTCTGATGGCGGGTTCTATCCCCGCCCGTGGTATGGTTTGTTTGCAATCGTGCCATTACGATTTCGTGAGTCAGAGAAAGCAGTTTATCTATGGAGGCAAAAAAGGGAAATGTAGCAGTGGGTAGTGTTAACAACACTTTTATATGGGTGTGAGGTAGAATTTTGAAAGCTGCGGCGAGGAGGCTGGCGATAGCGGAAATGTCCTGTTTGAGAATAATGTGTAGTGTGAATATTATGCAGAGAATCTGAAGTATAAAAATTAAAAAGGCGATGGGGACAAGGTCCTCCAAGAGTATAATTCCGAAAACTGAATTGGAGTTATTGGGCCATTTATGCTTATGAAGAGGATGGAAAAGGATATGTTGACGAAGATTGTGAATAAATCTGTGATGAAAGGGAGGGTAAGAGGTTGTCTACGGAAAGGTTGGAGGGAGCGGGTATAAAAGACTTTAGGTTTTAAGATCTTGAGCATCAAGAAGGCTTGTATGAGCTTACTGGATAAGAGTGAGTGGAGACAAGTGGTTTTTAATGGACGTGCTGTTGGAGTGAGAGTAACGTTTATGAAGGGATTCAGAAAAATTGGTCAGCGAATTTGAGTCCTGAAGATTTGATGGGCAGTGCCTGCACGCTGAAGACAGTGTGGAGATACTGCAGTCAGTGAGTAATCTGATTGTGATGTTAAAACACTTGGAAAGACAGAGATTGAATGAATGATGGTGAATGTGTTTTCTTCTTTAGTATTACCCTACCTTGGAGAGAGACAGCCTTTGAATTAATAATAATAATAATAATAAAAACAATAAAAATAATAATAATAATAATAATAAAATAATAATAATAATATAATAATAATAATAAATAGCAATAATAAAATAAAATAAAATAATAATAATAATAATAATAATAAAAAATAGCAATAATAATAATAATAATAATAATAATAATAATAATAATAACAATAAATAATAATAATAATAATAAATAATAATAATAATAATAATAATAATAATAATAATAATAATAGCAATAATAAAAAAAAATAATAATAAATAATAATAATAATAATATAATAATAATAATAATAATAATAATATAATAATAATAATAATAATAAGTACAGTGCCTGCACTCTGAAGGAGGGGGGGTTAATCTTGCAGTTTAAAAACTGTAGTGTAAAGCACCCTTCTGGCAAGACAGTGATGGAGTGAATGATGGTGAAAAGTTTTTCTTTTTCGGGCCACCCTGCCTTGGTGGAATCGGCCAGTGTGATAATACATAATAATAATAATAATAATAATAATAAATAATAATAATAATAATAATAAAAATAATAATAATTATATTAATAATATTAATAAAGATATGAATAATAATAAGAATATTAATAAAATAATGATAAGAAGAAGAAGAAGAAGAAGAAGGAGAAGAAGAAGAAGAAGAAGAAGAAGAAGAAGAAGAAGAAGAAGAAGAAAGAAGAAGAAGAAGAAGAAGAAGAAGAAGAAGAAGAAGAAGAAGAAGAACAACAACAACAACAACAACAACAACAACAACAACAACAACAACAACAACAACAACAACAACAACAACAACAACAACAACAACAACAACAATTGCATGGGAAAATGAATAAAAGACCGACGAAGATGGAAAAAATGCAACATAGGTGAAGAGAAAGTACCAAGAATAACCAAGAAAATAAAGGCAGTTTGTGTTACCTGTCCCTCTGCTGCGTAGTTCATTGCCGTGACAAAGATGTAACCCATGACCATCTGCACAGTGCCGATGATACACGTCCCCACCCCGAACTTCACCACCTCCCCGAAGAAGTTGCCCTTGTTCTCGTACGCCGCCTTTACTTGTTCCAGGATTCTGTGGGGAGTGTCAATGTGTGTTTGTAAGGTAACAGAAATGTTCCAGGATTCTGTGGTGTTTCAATGTGCGCTTGTCAAATTCCAGAGATATTCCAGGATTCTGTGGGGTGTATTAGTATGTGTGCTTGTAAGATTCCAGGGATATTCCAGGATTATGTGGGATGTATCAATATGTGTTTGTAAGGTACAACATATATCCCAGGATCCTGAAGGGTATGTCATTATGTATTTGTAAGTTTAGAATCATTCCAATATCATTTGAGGATATGAAGTAAATTAGAAGAGACATTCACAAGTTACCATTTAGAAGCTAATATCTAAATATCAATAAAAATGGCAAATAAAGATATACACAACTATGATGAATTTCAAACCTTTCAAAGAAATCGATATTCTGAAAAATATAAATACATTAACTTGCAACTGTTGAGATGTTGTATTATCAAGCTAACAGCAAGCAAGGAATGAATGGGAAGGGATGATTGGGATTATTCAAATTATTATAATCAAGGGGGAAGCGCTAAACCCGGAGGATTATACAGCGCCTGGGGGGGGATGTGGAAGGCATTCAGGCTTAATTCGGGGAACTGGAGCACAGATCCAATTCCCTAAATCAAGAGCCCCTCACCAACATCAAGGAACCTTCCTTGAGGGGGGGATGATTGGGAAATATTCAGATTCGATCCAAGGAAGGGGAGGATAAACCCAGTTTCTTGGATCAAGAGCTCCCTCACTAGCATCAAGGCAAACCATACCACGGCCGGGACTTGAACCCGCGGTCAGAGAGTCTCAAAACTCCAGACCGTCGCGTTAGCCACTGGACCAGCTAGCCACAATAAGATTCGTCCAACTAGGTATTCTCCCGGCCCAGCCTTGGCTCCCTGTCTAGGGAGTGTCTGAGACCGAAGTCTCCCATGGGAGGAGGCACAAGTATCCCCTCATCTTTGGGACCAACTGTCCCCAGGCCTAGAAACTAGGCCTGTTTGGGCTGCCATCCCTGCCCCAAGGGGGTTACAGGTAATGAAAGGCTTGTGAGCTGCAAGCTCGGGCTCAGGCAACTACCCTACCCTAGAAGGGCTGGGCATGGTGTCGATGATGTATATTAGGTACGTCAAAAAAATGAAACCAAGAATAAAAAATATTTAATAACATAATTCGCAGTAACCTTATGTAAAATTACACGAGTAAATAATTAAGGCTGCTATATAATAACACGATATTTTATATTTAAATTTTTAATATTATTTTATTATAATCAACGGGGAAGCGCTAAATAAACATTTAATACACCTTACTTCTGGAAAAAAAAGGTAAACGTCTCACTTACTATCAATAAATACAGTTTTACTACACAGTTATGTGCTATGAAATATCAAAAGGTCGTGTAATATGACACGGAAAGGTTAGATTGATTTATTGGGTTTACAGCATATCGACAAACCTGTTCACCACCACTCAAGAAGACTTTATTTTAGAGTATATTCTCAAATATCTATATATAATATGTGTGTGTGTGTGTGTGTGTGTGTGTGTGTGTGTGTGTGTGTGTGTTGTGTGTGTGTGTGTGTGTGTGTTGTGGGTGTGTGTGTGGGTGTGTGTGTGTGGGGTGTGTGTGTGTGGGTGTGTGTGAGGGTGTGTGTGTGGGTGTGTGTGTGTGGGTGTTGGTGTGTGTGTGTGTGGGTGTGTGTGTGTGGTGTGCGTCCTTGTGTGTATGCATATATTTGTACGCTCGTGTGCACATGTCCGTGCGTGCGCCCTCGTGGTGTATGTGCGCGCGCGCGCTAGTGTGGGTGTATGATCCACTTAATATTTGTATTTATAACTCATTACAATTGTGACCAGGTGTGACGTATCAGTGGTTCATTACTTTCGTAATTTGTTCATGACTGTAACCATGTATAGGATTTGAAGCTGATTCATTACCTCTGTAACTTGCCATGATTGTGACCAGATCTACCTGGAGTTCATTACCTTTGTAACTAGTTCAGCTGTCATAACTTTGGGGTCCATCACTGGACCCATTATGTACTTTTGTAATCTTTTGAACTACCGCCCACAGGATGGTATGGGGTGCATAAAGATATTAAACTAAAGTGTGTGTGTGTGGTGTGTGTGTGTGTGGTGTGTGTGGGGTGTGTGTGTGGTGTGTGGTGTGTGTGGTGTGTGTGTGTGTGTGTGTGTGTGTGGTGTGTGGTGACTCAACAATCAATATTTGCACCAATAACTCACTATAGTTTGTGACCGGTGTGGAAATGTGAATTGCTCATTACTCTAATTTGTTCATGATTGTAGCCATGTATAAACGTAAGTAACCATTCTACAGAATTCATTACCTTTGTAACTTGTGAGCTCATTACCTTGTACCTAGTTCAGCTATCAAAACTTTGGGGCCCAGTCCCTGACCCATTACGTACCTCTGTAATCTGTAAATACCTTTGTAACTTGTCATGATTGTGACCAGACTTACCTGGAGTTCATTACCTTTGTAAATTGTGAGTTCATTACCTTTGTAAATTGTGAGTTCATTACCTTTGTAAATTGTGAGTTCATTACCTCTGTAACTTGCTCAGCTATCAAAACTTTGGCGTCCAGTCCCTGGACCAATTATGTACCTCTGTAATCTTTTGACTACCGCCCACAGGATGGGTATGGGGTGCATAATAAACATATTAAACTAAAACTGAGAGACATGCAACTCTTCGTGTATGTAATATATGTCAGTCCATCGCTCAAGGTTATTTAACCAACTGTCTTGTTCCTTGATATTAAATAGAGCAAATAAACTAATTAAATCTAAAGTGCATGACACTGAAGAAAACTCTACTAATTATAGATATATTTTCAACATTGTATATTTGTTATGTAAAGAAGTATCCTAAAGATATTCCAGGATTTGAAGGAATTAACATAAGCATTGAACCACAGACATGTACAATAGTTGTACCTCATTCAGCAGACCAAGGATGAGTTGAGTCCAAATGGCAGACTGTTGAAAATAGTAAAGAAAAGACTCACGCTGCAGAACAGCCTTTTACTTGCATAACGTTTATGCTCAGAGTAGGAATTTGTCAAGTTATAGCTTCGATCTACACTGAGTAAAAAGTTGTCCCAATAAAAGTCTGTTCTCCTACTTGTCTTTTCCTTACAGGTGAGTTACAGATTGTATAAGTGTTCTGACCTGCCTAGCACTAGCAGGTGAACCAGCAGCTACCTACAGAAAATTGCCTCTCAGGTATTTTCCTGCAGGTGTGTGAAGGATGGGTACCGAAACTGATCTTTATATTGAATATATTTTGTTTTGGTACAATCATCAGCTAAAGGTGGGTAAATCACCGATACGATGTACCACCGATACGATGTACTAATAACTTTCAACCAAAGCCTGTCACAGGCTCACGTCCATCATTACAAATCGACACTAGTCACCGCCAGTCGTACGCAAATTAGTAAATATCATGAAGGAAAACCAATCACAAATAGCAACACCAGCCGACACAATCCCATACCAACACCAACAACCCTACTAATGAACATAAACGACCAGCAGCAGCCAACCACCATCACCATCACCAGCAACTCACTGTTCTCTGGTTAGGTTGGCGTATGCTGGGTACTTATGCACTGCTTCCTGCCGGAGATTCAGCAGGTGTGTGTCGTTGTCACTGTCGAGAGTGTTCAGGAGCTTGTCGTAGACAAAGGCATCGGTGACGTTGCCGAAAAGCACGAAGAGTCCAGGTAGACACACTCCTGCCACGGCTGCTGCTGCTACACCAGCCACCATCAACCAGCGCTCTCCAGAGGTACTGTACCTGAACTGCCAACATGTGGGAGGATGATATACTTGTAAATGTGTAACTTTTAATGTGTGTACATACTCCGTTACACATAATTATAATGAAAGCACATTCAGAGTTGTACGCAGCTGGAACTGTGTGTACATACTCACCTATGCACAGTTGTAACTTGTACACACGCAGAGCTGTACGCAGATGATAGGTGTGTTGACACATATGCGTGTAAACACAACTATACACGGTTGTTAATGCTGTTAATATGTGCACATATTCAACTGTATATAACTGTTAATCTGCCTACATTCACACCTAAGAACTACTGTTAATGTGTACATAAACACCTGTAAACTCATGCGATTCTATGAACGCACATAACTGCACACAAATTTTATTGATAGTATATGCACTCAGTAACTGGTATTAACATCCTGGTCGATCAGGCCAGCAACCGGGAGGCCGGGACACAGCTATTAATGAAACATTTATACAATACTGACACGGACAAACACACAGATACAATACTGGCACAAACAAGCCCACATAGATACAATCCTGGAACAAACAAGCCCACATAGATACAATACTGACACAAACAAGCCCACCTATATACAATACTGGCACAAACAAGCCCACATAGATACAATACTGGCACAAACAAATCCACATAGATACAATACTGGCACAAACAAGCCTACACAGATACAATACTGGCACAAACCCACATAGATACAATACTGGCACAAACAAGCCCACATAGATACAATATTGGTACAAACAAGCCCACATAGATACAATAATAGCACAAACAAGCCCTCAGATATAATAATGGCACAAAAAACCACATACACACAATAAGAGAACAAATAAACCCACATAGTTACAATAATGATATAAACCACCCAACATAGATAACATTGGTCAACACAAAATATTCATCGGGAATAATTTTTGACGTTTTCGGTTTTTCTCTACTGTGTATATATAGTTTTCTGAATAAGAGAGATATATTTTTTGGTCGTTTAGCAAAAAACGTCAGCTACCTTTAATTTAAGGGATATTGTATTAGTATTGTATTATATCGGCTTTTAATTGGGATGGCTACAACTATAGGGTCTGCCTAGAATAGTTGTTCTCAAAATTAAGGACGAGAATTAGGTGGAAACGTCGATTTTTTTTAGAGTAATAAGAACTCGTAAACGAGTGTTCCTGGGGGATAAGAGAAGCTCTGGGACGCGATTTATGGAGAAAGGGAAGGATGACAGACACAATACAGGTTTTAGCTTCCATTTTGAATTAGAAATGGGTTGATTTGAATTGAAAAATAGCGGTGATCTAGACGATGGAAATAAGGACCCTGTTAGCCCTTTCTCCTTGTCATCTATCAGTACAAACAACCTTCCAGAGCAATAGCTGAGAATCGGCCCCAAAATACGCATTAAAATTGCAAGAATCGCATTTTTTTTGTCCCGAATGCTCTCGGAGGCCTTTCAATGCTCGTCATATTTCTATGCCTATGTAGACCTATGTCGATCTTGCATATAGCACCCATAGCGTAGAACTGGAGTTAAGCAAAAGGTATAGATAAGAAATTCATGTTTCTTCAGTGAGGTGCGAGACGTTGCAATATGCATCAAACATCTTTTTTTTATTGCATATATGTGGGTTTATTCAGGTGAAGGGGTCATGAAGGGATCAAACCTGAGTGCCTGCCATTTCCCAGGTGTTACACGATTCTTTTGTGTTTAACTCTTGCCTCCAACAACAATAACAACACCAACAATATCAACAACAATAATAAAAGTGAGAGTAAAAATAAACATAGTAGTAATATAAATAATAATAATAATAATAATAATAATAATAATAATAATAATATAATGATAATAATTTATTTTTGTTTTTTAGTAACTTTAATATCTTTTTTTTGTACAGGTGTTGCTGTGGACGTGACATTTAGAATGTTACTAAAAGTCGTCGTAATTATACAAGCAATATTTGTTGAGTGATTATATTAGTATTTACTGGATCCTAACTCTTTTTTAGCCAATAGTATTACACCGATTTTAGGCTAAGTTTCTGAGGCTGATTCCTAATGTCATCGGTTTTGCTTGATTGGCTCTAGTTTTTTATAAATTTGATATCTCATTGAAAAACATAAAAGATGTGAAGAATATATTGATCAAGTGGGGCTAACTTACAAATCGCATTGAAATAATTTTTTAGATCATGCAAAAGTCAAAATATGTAATACATTCTCGCACTTCATTCTATATAATAAATGATTAACATAGTAAGATAATTAACATAGTAAGATAATTCAGAAACCTCTAATTACTGCACGTGAAAACGTTTTATGTAAGATTTTCTTCTGTGTTGGTCATCAGCACAATTTTGTTAAGTGAGTAACTGGAAGAGATGCATATTAATTACTGTTGTGTAATAAGGCACATTTTAAGCTTCTAATGAAGCTGTGTATAAACAACCGCCAATCTCCTGGTCTATATTCAAGTTCCATTCGAAGAAGAATATAAGTTCAACCTCTCTTGTCCGATAAGCTGTTATTTTTAACTTCTTCTTGTAGACAGTTCTTTTCTTTTAGTCTGGATGCAAAAAGTTCAGATTCTTGCTCTGATAGACTGAGGTCCTGTATCAGATCATTGAGCTCTTCTTGGGAACACTGCTGCGGTGTTGAAATGCTTCATATTCACTTCCACTGCTATCACCTGTGTTACATCCTAAACCCTGAGTTTCTTCAACATCTGACAATGGAAGATCAGGCAGTGTTGTCAGGCAGTGTTGTAAACACTGGTATGGGAACGTCTTCGCTGTGTGGCACAGGTCTCCTTTCTGACTCCAAATCAGAATATTCCAACTTGACTTTCTTGTATCGATTGAAACCTTTCACATTCACAATAAAGAAACAACAATCATAGTGTTTTTTTTTTTTTTTTGCCTCTCCCTACACCATAGGCACAATGAAGTTTAATCTCTTCCTTTGTCTTGATTTCCACTGTCGTAAGCATTCTACACAGGCTTTGCAAACAATATATATGGACCCCAAGACTTGTTTTGTTCTCCAAGCGCCACTCCTAAATAAGCAAGATAAGCTTGTTTTACAAAAATCTGTGATGTTTTTTCTTTGTTTTGGCAAAGAGTATTCACCACAAATGTAGTAAAATGAATTGGGATCGTTTAAGCAGACTCTTAGTGAATAATTCATATTTATCTGGAAAAAATAACAAAATAAAGGTGACAGTATTGTCACGTGATCGTTGTTGATGCATCTCTCCTTTCGTTAAATATTAAATCATTTAAAAATAAAATTCTAATCTTTACTGAAACTATCTGTACATACAAACTGCCCCTACACATACACGTACACATATACGTACACGTACACGTACACATATACGTACACGTACACGTACACATATACGTACACGTACACGTACACGTACACGTACACATATACGTACACGTACACGTACACGTACACGTACACGTACACGCACACATATACGTACACGTACACGTACACATATACGTACACGTACACGTACACGTACACGTACACGTACACGCGTTATGGCTAAGTTCCCTGTTAAATGAGAGTAGGTATACAATATCTCACAAACTAGAGCCAATTTGAAAAACCTATTGACATTTTCGAACTTAACTCCAAAATACCCTAAATATCTTCCATTATCTTTGGCAACTATTCTTTTTTTGGTTGACCATTGATATATTATTATTATTATTATTATTATTATTATTATTATTATTATTATTATTATTATTATTATTATTATTATTATTATTATTGAGTAGAAGTAGTAGAAATAGAGGTAGTAAAAGACTTAAAAGCATTAGTAACAGTAGTAGTGGTAATAGTAGTGGTGGCATTAGTATTAGTGAAGGAAAGTAGTAGCAGTAGTCGTAGTGGTAGTAGTAGTAGATGTAGTAGTAGTGGTGGTGGTAATAGTAGTAGTAGTAGTAGTAGCAATAGTAGTGTTAATAGTAGTAGTACTAATAGTAGTAGTGGAAGTAGTAGTTATGGAAGTAATAGTAGTACCACTAGTAATGGAAGTAGTAGTAGTTGTGGAAGTAATAGTAGTAGTAGTAGTTGTGGAAGTAGTAGTAGTAGTAGTAGTTGTGGAAGTAATAGTAGTAGTAGTACTATTAGTAGTAGTGGAAGTAGTAGTATTATAAATATTGTTATTTTTATGAATAATAATTTGTTTGGAACTTCTAATACTATTTCTGAATTGCCAAAAAATTGCAAGATTACTGATAATATTTTTTAATACATTTATAATTTCTATGCCCTAGTAACTTCTTTTATTATTATTATTATTATTATTATTATTATTATTATTATTATTATTATTATTTTTATTATTACATAATTCGCTTTATTATTAATAATAATTTGATTATTATATCAATAATATATTTCAAATAAAATTATTTGAATATGCATCTTTTTTTATTTAAAAAAAATCATGTTTTTAAAACGGTAATATCATTATACTGTCAAAAAGACCAACACACTGTTAGTAGTTCGTGACTCACCAGCTGAAAGACTGGAACAGGTTTAGGCTTCTCCACATTCTCCTCTTCCTCAAATTCTCTCTCCACTAGCTCATGTCTGTATACAGAAAAATATGTGACGTGATATATATGCATATATATATATATATATTATATATATATATATATATATATATATATATATATATATATATATATATATATATACATATATATATATATATAGTGTTATAGTGTGACTTCTAAAGTATTGTTTGGGGATCATGAAATTGACTCGTGTGAGGGTGTGCAACAGCGAGCTCAATATCTGGTTCTTGGATGATGGTACCCTAGCTGGCACTACAGAATCTCTCCTAGAGGACGTCAGAAAAATTACAGACATGAGAGAGAGACTGGGCCTATCTTTAAACCCCACCAAATGTGAAATAGTTTCTATCAATCGACAGACGATCCAGAATATTAGTGCTGTTTTAAAAGGAGCACGAGCCATTGATCCAGCCAACAGTACTCTTCTTGGTGCTCCTCTTGGGCCCAGTGCCATCGATGTAATCCTAAAAAAGAAAATCTCAGACCTCAGGACGTTGGAAAGCAGGATGAAACTCACTGATACACATGATGCCTTTTACCTACTCACCAGGTGCCTGTCAATCCCAAAACTTGCCTACTTCCTGAGATGATCCCAAGCCTTCAGCAGTCCGAAACTCAAGGAATATGACTCTCTCCTTAAGAACATAAGAACATAAGAACGAAGGAACACTGCAGAAGGCCTACTGGCCCATGCGAGGCAGGTCCAAGTCTCCTACCGGCTTAAGCCAATGCACCCAACCTAGACAGGTCAGGTCACATTGACTTAAGGGAGGAACACGGCAACCGACCTGTTAGCACAAGCTATCAGGTCTAACTCACACCCACCCACATCTACTCATGTATTTATCCAACCTATTTTTAAAGCTACACAACGTTCTGGCCTCTATAACGGTACTTGGGAGTTTGTTCCACTCATCCACAACTCTATTACCAAACCAGTACTTTCCTATATCCTTCCTGAATCTGAATTTTTCCAACTTAAAACCATTGCTGCGAGTCCTGTCTAGGCTAGATATTTTCAGCACACTATTTACATCCCCTTTATTTATTCCTGTCTTCCACTTATACACCTCAATCATATCCCCCCTAATTCTACGTCTTTCTAGAGAGTGCAGTTTCAGGGCCCTTAGTCTATCCTCATAGGGAAGGTTTCTGATACATGGGATCATCTTTGTCATCCTCCTTTGTACATTTTCCAGAGAATTTATATCCATTCTGTAATACGGTGACCAAAACTGTGCAGCATAATCTAAATGATAGAGAGTGTATTGAATCTTTCTTTCGAAGATGGACAGTGTTTGCAAGCCATACTTTCACTCAGGCTTGGGGGGACGGGAGTGCACAAATTCTCCCAGATTGCCCTACCAGCTTTCCTGTCATCTTCCATAGTATCAAATGAGTTAATAAAACAATTTCTTCCGGACAACCTCAGTGACTCAGCAGGAATACATTAATGTAACATTTTACGTCACTCGTCCTGTTCCCAGCGGTTAGAAGCTTAGGGTTGGCTTTTAGCTATCTTCTAGCATTTTTCCTCATGCTATCTGCAAACTGTGAGACCTACTGCACCTGACCCCATATGGGGCGGGGTGTGGGGGGTGTGTGGGACCGGTGTGTGATTGGCATCCCGCTTACCTCTCTCAGACAGAGACTGGCTGGTGTCTCCACACTACCATACTATGAAAACTTACTCTACTTCTCCTGTTATTGTCTTTGCAACATTGCACAGCTCATGTGAAAGTACTTGCAACCAACTACACTGATCGGGTTAGGGATCATCTTAGTAACATTTATCAAGTTTCCCGCTGATGTCCCCAACAAGTTCTGCAGAGGTAATTTCAATAATAAATGCAATAAAAACAAGGCAGGTAATATTGCGAGTATACCACCAGAGCCTTCACCTGTTATTGTAACTCTGCTTCATATATCTCTTGCAACAAATGCATTCCCCTAGTATACTTACGTTAGTACATATTACCCCAATTCACAAAGGAGTAGACACAGCCTGAAATCAAGAGCTATAGCCCAATCTCTAACTTGTCAGTATTGTCTAAAATCTTTGAAAAGATAATTATAAACATTTATTACTACTAAACATTACATTCCTAACCCTCGCCACTATGGTTTAAGTTCGGGAAAGATACTAATTATGTTATCGTAAAGATACTAGACTGTGTGTTCATCTCCAGAAAATAATGAATATCCAATTGGCCTCTTTATTGATCTAAGAAAGTCTTTTATTCTGTAGATCACAATATCTTGCTGTTGAAACTAGAACATTATGAAATCAGATGGCATGTTCTCTCTTACAAAAAGTTCTACCTTACTGATAGACGTCAGAGAGTAACAACTGATGATGCCACCTCATTAGCACAAACTCTCAACACGGGTGCCTCAGGGTAGCGTCCTTGCTCCACTATTATTCCTCATATATATCAGTGACCTTCCAAATTCATCCCAGGAACTTAAGCCAGTCTTGTTTGCAGATGACAGATCATTTGTAAAATGCCATGCATATCCCGTTGTCCTCAAATACACAGTCAACAAGGAGCTCATGAAGCGTTCTACCTGGATGGCAGCTAACGAACTGTACACTCAGTATTGATAAGAATTTCGTCATGTTATTCGGGAATAAAACTAAAACTATCCATTTAAATATAAACATAAATATATCACATATAGAAAGAAAACACGAGGGAAATTTTTTAGGTATACACCTTGACTGAGGAAATGATTAGCATAACAAGGGGCTTTCTATAAAGAAGGTTATTTCACTTGTCAGTTAATCCTATGTTAATTGCATACTGCACTGTTCTTTATGGTAATAAAGCCATCAGTGCCATCAGTGTCACTGAGTTAAATGAATACTGTGATGAGTATCTCATCTATCTAAGGTACCCGTTAAATGGTCGGATGTATACTTTTGATGAGTTTCTCATGTCTTAGGTACTCACCCGTTAAAGGGTCGGATGTGTACTTTGGTGTGTCTTCCAATACCACGAAATTGGATCTTGCTTCTTAGATTGCCACCATTCTCAACAGTGCCCATCTTTTTTCTTCTCTCATACCTAGAATGTGAAAGATTGGTAAAGGTAATGTTTTTTTATAAAACAGTGGTAATTATATGCATGATTTTGTTTAATTAATAAAATAACCAATGCTAATATAAAAATAATGAGATTTACAACGAATTATAATTAGGCTATCAGTGATAATGGCTATACAAGCAATAGTAATTCTTAGGTTAATAACGATATTTATATGAAGAATGTAAATTGTTTACTAATTTATTGTGATAATTGTAAGGAATAATAATTGATTAATTATTACGAAAGTAATTATAATACAGAAGTTGATAATGATGATGAACATCAGCTATATAATAATAATAATAATAATAATAATAATAATAATAATAATAATAATAATAATAATAATAATAATTCGGTTTTGAACGTTAAAAAACTAATGGAAGAATAAGTATTTTTTGTAAAATAAGAAACTTTGTGAGAAATGAAGAACACATGGAAGAGTGAAGAAATAATGAAGGAGAAAGTAAACATTAACATTATTAACTGACAGGATGCCGGAGACATCAGGATTATTGGTAGCCAGTGAGAGGACGCTCCTTCCCATTCATATTACACTCAATAAGTCACTACTACATTATCACTTGTTTTGCTACCATTCTTACCCCCTGGCACTACCATACTAGTCCCAGTTCTTGGCAAGGACTGCTGTCTCATTGCCTTTTACTACGGTACCCACCCACTACACATGTTATTTACACCGGGTACAGTAGGAGTGCTACTACGTAAGTCGACTTCATGGAAGACCTTGTGAGGGTCACACCCGCTACGCATGCTCGCTCCTGAGTACATAAGAATATATAATGCCAATCAATAAGTTTTCCACGCTGTCCTCTCTCTCTCTCTTTCACTGTGTTTGATCGCTCTAATTTAATATTCCCTATTGACACTAGTTCACGGTATCTATATCACTCGATCACCTCGCTTCATCTCGTCACAAATTTTTTTTTTCTTGTATGGTTTTGAAATCACGAATGATTCACTTGTAGATTATAAAAAGAAGTTGGAGTTCCGCATGGCATGTTTTTTTTATTGGTTTGTTTGTTTCACACTTAGCGTGTAGGTTGCCATGGTGATGATTGTATTACCATGACGTAAGCGATGCTGCTCTTTAATGGTGTATTTTGTCATTGTATTGTTGCTCTACAGTTATTCATAAGTCGATTCATGTGTGTATACTTAGTTACTAAGTTGAGTTTGCAATGGTTGAGCTCCAGGTCCAGGGTCCAAACGTGTGTTTGTTTTTGTTCCTCTTTTTTACTAACCTATATGTGGTTGTGGGGGTCGAGCCAGTGCCTGGTTACGCCTCTCCTCTGGCCACTACTGTGTCGTCTCTCTGGCCGCTCTGAGGCTGAAGACATATTTCCCAAGAACCCTGTGACTCATCTGTGATTTTTTCTTCCAGCTGTGCTCTCCTGTTCTTGTTTCCTGTCACTCAAAGTCTGTCCGTGTCCATGGTAACAATTCCTCTGTACTCTGTACGTCGTCGTCATGTCTTTCTGCTCACTAATGTCATGAGGTTTAGCTCCATAACACTCACCTCATAACTTACATCTTAATTCTGAAACAAGTCTTGCTGCGAACGTATGTACTTATTCGAGTTCCCTAATATGCTTAATCAGACTCACGAAATCGTAATGACACGGTTGCAAACAAACCATACCACGGGCGGGATTTGAACCCGCGGTCAGAGAGTGGCTATCGCGACGGTCTGGAGTTTTGAGACTCTCTGACCGCGGATTCAAATCCCGCCCGTGGTATGGTTTGTTTGCAATCGTGTCATTATGATTTCGTGAGTCATGTTAACGGTTTTGAGGGACTTGAGCTAGAGTTCGTCACGGCCACGCTAGCTGGAGATTCGTCTGTAAAAACTTGCATTTGTGGTCACAGAGGTGCCTATGCTAACCTTCCTATGGTGTAGAAATATACCTAGTTGGATGAATCTTATTGTGGCTAGCTGGTCCAGTGGCTAACCCGACGGTCTGGAGTTTTGAGACTCTCTGACCGCGAGTTCAAATCCCGCCCGTGGTATGGTATGCTTAATCAGATATGGGTTCCATGGTGGTGCTGGATACTCCAACATAAGCCTGTCTTATGTCACTTACAATGCCATAAATGACTCCTTTCTTAAACTTTTGAAAGCTAATCATAGTTTTGCAAAAGGCACGGTTGATGCAAAAATGATTCGGATGATCTGCACCTAGGTGATATTCTCTGCACCAAGGTGATATATTTTGTATGGTACTCATTGTTGGTCTTCCTCCTAGAGAGAGATTTGCAGACTTTCTTTCCCCTGTGGTTATACATAGTTTCAGGGCTTTGCCATTTCGTAATTTTCATAACTTCGCGTTTGCTGGAGTTAAATTCTAATAGCCACTTGTCAGACCAATCCGCATGTCGTCTTTGGTCATGTGTTGTTTTTCCTGGTCCTCTCCTGTTTGTATTCTCATTAGTTTAACATCATCCGCGAACTAGGTCTTCTTCTTCCATCAAGACGATTACTTACTAGAACATAAGAAATAGTACCGGTTCCAGCACCGACCCTTGTGAAACCCCACTCGTTACACTTGCCAATTCCGAATTTCCTTCTGGAAATCACAAGGATTAACAGTGATATGTTTCCTCATTAAAAACGCATTCTGTCTTATGATCATGTTTCGGACTATATGTGACCAGAAAGCTAGATTGATCCAGCGTTTCTTGTCCCATGAGAACATCTCAATCATCTCAAAATTCACCCTCATTTCTATCTCATTTTCTCCTCCTATACAGTCTGTGATTGATATAAGCTAATATTCATCTTCTCACTTCTTTATTCCCAACCAATCAGCCTTCTTAAGTTCACTGATCAACAATGGACTCCCTCCTTTTACTCCCCCCAAATTGTCTTGTCTGGTTCCCTTGCTTTTTCTCTTATCACTTCCTTTACATTTTAGTCTTCGGAGAGTGTTTCTACCATCAACTCTGTCATTTCCTGTAGGTCTTTGAGCTATTTCTCCATCCATACTAATGCTTATTACCAAGTCTGCAGGAGTTTTTTTTTTACATAGTTTCATAATTTCCTCCAAGTTTTTCCACTTCTCAGCCAATTTTCTCCACATACCAAGTCTCAGTTTTTCTCGTCTTTGGTCTTGGATTACTCTATACATAGGTTCAGTGCAATCATGTACGTAAGCTTGTGTGTACTCACCTAGTTGTGGTTTCAGGGTCGACTCACAACTCGTGGCCCTGTGTGTGTGTGTGTGTGTGTGTGTGTGTTTGTGTACTCACCTAATTGTTCTCACCTAATTGTGGTTGCAAGGGTCGAGACTCAGCTCCTGGCCCCGCCTCTTTACTGACCGCTACTGGGTCCCCCCTCTCCCTGCTCCATGAGCTTTATCATACCTCGGGTTAAAACTATGTATGGTTCCTGCTTCCACTACATCGCTTGACAGACTATTCCACTTCCTAACAGCTCTGTGACTGAAGAAATACTTCCTAACATTCCTTTGACTCGTCTGAGTCTTCAGCTTCCAATTGTATGTTTATGTATCCCATCTCTGGAACATCCTATATCTGTCCACTCTGTCTATTCCACGCAGTATTTTGTATGTCGCTATCATGTCTCCCCTGACCCTCCTGTCCTCCACTGTCGTCAGACCGATTTCCCTTAACTTTCTTCGTAGGACATTCCCCTTAGCTCTGGAACCAGCCATGTTGCAAACACCTTTGCACTTTCTCTAATTTCTTGACGTGTTTGACCAGGTGTGGGTTCCAAACTGGTGCTGCGTACTCCAGTATGGGCCTGACGTACACAGTGTATAAAGTCTTGAAAGATTCCTTACTGAGGTTAGTGGCACACACAGTGTCTCTGCTCCCTCTCTACGGACCCACGGAGAGATGTCCTGTCCCACCACCTTTGAGGGATCAAGGTCACTTAGAAGCTTCTTCACCTCCTCCTCAGTTGTGTGTAATTCATCCAACACTTGTTGGTATATCCCTTGTTGGTGTACCCCACCGTTTTGTCTTCCCAGTGTCCCTTCAGCCTCCACTGAAAATACTTTCTGAAATCTCATGTTGAGCTCCTTACATACTTCTTGGTCATTTCTTGTGAGTTCCCCACCTTTTTTACTCAGACTGATTACCTGGTCCTTGACTGTTGTCTTCCTCCTGAAGTGGTTGCAAAGCAGTTTCGGGTCAGACTTGACTTTCAATGCTATGTCGTTTTTGTACTGTCGCTGGGCCTCCCTCCTTATCTGTGCATATTCGTTTCTGGCTCGTCGACTAATCTCTTTATTTTCCTGAGTCCTTTGCCATCTGTACTTTTCCCATACTCTAGAGTACTTAGTTTTTGTCTCCCTACATCTTCGGGTAAACCAAGGGCTCGTTCTGTTCTTCCCATTATTTCTGTTGCCCTTGGGAACAAACCTTTCCTCTGCCTCCTTGCATTTTGTTGTTACGTAGTTCATCATTTCGTTTACTGACTTTCCTGCAAACTCTCATTCCCACTGAACCTCCTGCAGGAAGGTCCTCATACCTGTGTAGTCCCCCCTTTTGTAGTTTGGCTTTTCACTTTCTTCTCCTGTTACCCTCTCTACTGGCAGCTCCACGATGTATTCAAAGCTCAGAACCACGTGGTCACTAGCTCCAAGGGGCCTTTCATATGTGATGTCCTCAATGTCTGAGTTACTCAGGGTGAACACAAGGTCCAGTCTTGCTGGTTCATCCTCCCCTCTTTCTCTGGTAGTTTCCCTGACATGTTGGTGCATGAGATTTTCCAATACCACATCCATCATCTTGGTCCTCCATGTTTCGGGATTCCCCTGTGGCTCCAGGTTTTCCCAGTCCATCTCCCTGTGGTTGAAGTCGCCCATAACCAGTAACTTCGCTCTACTCGAGTGAGCCCTTCTTGCCACCTCAGCTAGTGTGTCCACCATTGCTCTGTTGCACTCATCATATTCCTCTCTTGGCCTCCTGCAGTTCTGTGGTGGGTTATACAT